GACCAGCGACGTCTGCGTAGAGTTGTCAAGTTCACGACAAGCAACACACTGCGTCAAATAACCGCAGAAATCAATGTGGGACGTACGAGGGACGTGTCCGTCAGGACAGTGCGGCGAAATTTGTCTTCCTTGGGCTATTCCAGCAGAAGACCGACTCGAGTGCCTTTACTGACAGCATGACATCGCCTTCAGCGACTCTCGTGGGCTCGTGAGCATATCGGTTGGTCCCTAAACGAAAGGAAAACCGTGGCTTGGTCAGATGAGTCACGATTTCAGTTGGTAAAAGCTGATGGTAGGGTTCGAGTGTGGCGCAGACCCCACAAAGGCATGGACCCAAGTTGTCTACAAGGCACTGTTCAAGCTGGTGGTGGTTCCATAATGGTCTGGGCTGTTTTTACATGGCATGGACTCGGTCCTCTGGTGGCAACTGAACCGATCATTGACTGGAAATGGATACCCTTCAGCTACTTGGAGATCACTTACAGCCATTCATGGACTTCACGTACTCAAACAACGATGGGATTTTTATGGATGACAATGCGCCATGTCACCGGGCCACAATTGTTCGCGATTGGTTAGAAGAACATTCTGGACAATTCCAGCGAATGATCTGGCCACCTAGATCGCCCGACATGAATCCCATCGAACATTTATGGGACATCATCGAGAGGTCAGTTCGTGCCCAAACCCTGCACCGTCAACACTTTCACAATTATGGACGTCTATAGAGGCAGCATGGCTCAATATTCCTGCAGGGGACTTCCAACGACTTGTTGAGTCCATGCCACGTCGAGTTGCTGCACTTCGCGGGCAAAAGGAGGACCGACAAAATATTAGGAGGATCCCATGACTTTTGTCACTTAGTGTTAGTTATATTTCATTTAGTGAACTCACCTCTTGTAAAACCTTTCGTATACGGAATGAACAAGAAAGGTATTATAATGGGATTATTACCACTAGTTCTTTACTTTTAATCATCTTAAACAAATTTCATAATACTTCATAACACTAAAGCAAGAATGACATGATAAATATACATTTCTTAAAAGGGTATTTATTAATATCGAAGAAGAAATGTAATGCAACACACAAAATATTGATGATTCTTGAAGAAATTTGATGTAGTGTTAATTAATTATTAATTGAAAATAATTAAATTATCGGCACTACACTAAGTATTTCCAGCAATTTTTATAGAAAATTACATCTTATATAAGAATCTGAATACCATATGAAGTACATAACACTTGCATGTATTGACTTTCGCATCAGTTTGTAGAGCATTGATGTTTGATGAGAGACATGAAAATGAGCAATCCCTCGACAGAACTCGAAATGGTCCTCTCGTACGCCTAGGCGTATCGAGCCTACTGTTTCGCCACGAAGGTATGCAGGAAGAGGATAAAACCTTATACTTCCCCTTTTAAAAGACGACTGGGGATTAGGGGAACCATTCGCAAATCCTAGTGTTGAAAATAACAGCCATCCTTTTAGTTCGGGTCACGTTGAGCCATTAAGATTTTTGTTCCTTTTTAATCAGGATAGCGAAAAAGGGAATGCCTCGCCGGGGTCGAACTGGACTTGGCTAATATGCGCCGAGGGTGGTACCTATCGACGAAGATATGCAAAAGGAGAAAAATTACCTTATAAATTCTTCGCAGAGCTACATAAGCCTGAATATATATTAATAAAAGATCTATCCTTCAAAAAACAAAATGCCAAACTCCATTCTGGTACCATATTAAAATTTTCACCAATGCATAAAGATCTAAAACTACATCTGCTGCTTATTGAAATTTCTTTCTTCCTTTTAATACGTGAACAATTATGCTTAAAAATATAAATTCTATGGAGAACCAGACCAACGCATGTTCTATTTTAATTCTCTAGTTACCTTCACATACAGGAAGATAGAGCGACTGACTGAACACGCTACCACCCAGATCAACATCACGTACTCAGCCTTACGATGTGGCACCGATATCAAATCCAAAAACTATTTCAACAAGGCGGGTATGAGAGCCATCAGATGTAATCCAACTGAAGACCGAAGGCACAGGTGAGCTAAATGTTGACTTACCAAGCAACACCGCACTTGATTCTCATAGGAGATGGTGAAAAGGGCTGTCATTTCGCTTAAGCCAATGGCTGATGGGAGATCCTGTCTATCAATACTAACAGGATATCGAGGCGGATGTTTTGAATTGTTAAGATTAAAGGAAGACAGAAATGGGAGAGTAGCAATGTTAAATTAATAGAAGTATTATAAAGTGTAAGGGTGTTACATCAGTAATTTCAGTGCATAGAGGAAATAAAAATGTGAGTAATTTTACAATATTAAATATTGCAGCATCAGATAAAAGCTAAAATTGTACAGCCAAAATCTTGCTTAGTCGATATTCTGCTTAACTAAAACGATGATAAAAATAAATTAGATCAATGTGTCGGAACCAGTCGTTTACAGCATTTTTAAGCTAATTTAATTTGTATTGCTATATATTTTAAGTGTGAATATATGTTAAGTATATGTTTAAAGATAGATCTATGTTTATGCTTAATTTAATTTTTATTTGACTATATATTTTAAAGGTAAATATATGTTTTAAAGGTTACCCACATTTTAAAGGTAAATATATGTTTTAAAGGTTACACACATTTTAAAGGTCATAATGTTTTAAAGTAAAATATTTTTAGTAACATTTATATTTAAAAATATGATTATTTTAAGGTAACATTAAGGTAAATATTTTAAAGGTAACATTTATATTTAAAATATATTATATTTTAAAGTAACATATATTTTAAGGTACATTTATATTAAAATATTGTTTATTTAAAGGTAACATACATTTTAAAGTAACATTCATATTTAAATATACGTATTATTTAAAGGTAATATTGTTTTAAACGAACATACATTTAAATGTAAATATGTTGATACAATAACACGCCGAACAATACTAATTCAGAAAACACGCCGGAAGAATACTAATTAGAAGTCAACAACAAAAGTCAGCGTTGCAAAAAATAGCTGTTTGGGCTCTATATTAACACAATAAACACGCCGATAAATACTAATTCAGAAGCAACAACAAAACTCAGCGTTTATTTTTCAAATTTTCACAGGACTAGTTTTGATGGTTTTACCCGAACCACCATCTTCAGCTGCAAAAGCGCAAATGACGAGATAGAAATAATGATTAGATAAGGTAAGAAGCCTGGACAAGATAAACAAGTGCTCATCTGTTCATGAAACCAAACTAAAACATAATTTCTTTAAGGCCGAAGGCAAAGATGGTTTGGAATTAGGATCGTTACTAGAACAGAAAGATTTTTTTGAATGTAAAATGCCTCTAGAAAATCCAGCTCTCCAATGGAAATGTTTTTGAATAATTTTGGCAGCAGAAAATTGAAAGTGTGATTTTCGTACAACAATGTTGGACAAGAGACTTCTGTGTTTCCTTTTTTCTAACATTGCCTCATGTTCCTTGCGAAATTTTAAGGCTCTCTTAGTTTGGCCAATGTAAATTAAACCACACTGTAAGGAATCCTATAAATACCCCAGGATTCATTCCGGAATGGGGTCCTTGAGTATTGAAACTCGGAATTTTTTGATGGAGAATAAACACCCGAAAGTTAAATTTCTGAAAAATGTGCAACTTTAGCTAATTGATGGAAAGAAGGGAATGCAACAGAATTTTTATAATATCCTAAAACAGAGTGTGCCTTTTAGTGTTTGAGATGATAATTTTTTAACTGCTTGATTATAATGTTGGGTGAAAGCCCCTATCAATAGCTATTGCTTTTAAATAATTTAGTTCTTCATCAAGGGATAGTTTGGAGGAGCAAACTTGAAGAGCACAGAAAACGTGGGAATAAAATGAATATGAATAAATATGTGTTTTAAAGGTAACATATGATTGTAATATAGGTCTGTTTTTGTATATTCTACAATGTGTACTAATTTTTATTGCTGCATATTTTGTAAGTAAATATATGTTTACTGCTGATATAATAAGTGATCTCAGCATATTTTGTAACAAAAAAATTAAACTTGAAATACATATTTTGCACAGGAATTTACTTCATGTATTTCTCTTCTTCATGTTTCACGCTTTTTTAACATGTCATAAATTATATTAATTAATGTGCACGTTATATGAAACATACTATCTGGAAGATTCTAAACTATCAACAACAGAAACGGAATAATTTCCAAAACATTAATAAAATATTTGCATGTATATTCCAAAAGATTTTTTTATAATCTTTAAGGAAATTTTCCATTCTATTCATGGTATAGATAGTATTAAATTCTTGTCTTCTTATCAGTGTTTCTGAAACCCGAAACATTTCCCTAGATTTCTCGTACGGAATGGGTAATATGTTACTGAAGCAAAAATGAAATTGTGATTTCATTGTGATTTTTGGCTCTGAAAGAAGCGGTTGAAATCAAAGCCTGAGCAGCAAAATTAAAAAAATCAAATTCCATCTTTCAGGCAGAACTATTAGCAGTTTGAGAGGCAATTAAATTTGCAAAAAAGTCCTCTAAAACTAGTAAAATAATATATGACAGTGCTTCGAGCCTTCAAGCTACTATAATAGGGCAAAATCACTCTGAAATAGTGAGAGATACTGAATATGTGTTAACATACTTTCCGACAAGTACAAAACCATGATTATATTAGACACGTACCCGTGTGGGCACTGTCGACAATAAGATCGATGATCAACTAGAGCGGGAAGCTGCAAACAGTAATTAAACATCAATTATTTCCTTGTCAATTTTTTAATTAAAATCTCCTTTAGAAAAAAAAATCTAATGACACGACGGAAATTTTTATGGTCACAAGAAGTCACTGAAGAAGAGCATTTACCTTCATATCCATCCCCTCACGTAAATTACTTTCTAAAAACGTACAGTGACTTATCTTGTAACAGCTCATAGATCTTTTGTGGTCTAGTTATTTCGCTTTGGTTTACATAACATACACAGCTACACTTGTGGCTTATCAGGTACATTAAACCACTGTTTGTTACAGTGTCAAAAAGCCAGAGATCTACATTTTCGGTCCTATACAACAAGCAATAGTCTTGAATAGTTTCAGTAAAACCTCAGGAGTAAATCTTTTCGCCACAAGCTTCAGACGTCAGTATCTTATTATAAAAAAATATTTATTATTTAGTTTCCACATTATACATGTAACAAAATATTATGCATCATAGAAAAATCTCTGTAAAATGTCACATTTTTTTGTAATAGTGTAACATTCTTTGTATAGGTATAAGGTATTTTTCCCGCGTTCTTGGCATGCCTTCGTGGTATGGTGGTCTGCACGCTTGGCGCCTATTCCAGATGTCCGTGGTTCGATTTCCGATTATTTTTCGAATGCTTCGAAATAACATAATGTCTTTAGAGTGGCGCCCGAACTAAAATGGTGGTGAATGATGATTTTTTGCACTCAGGATTTGGAGACTGTTTCCCCTAAAATCCCCAGTAGCTTTTAAAAGAGGGAGTATATAAGGTATTTCTCCCGCCTCCTTGGTATATCTTCGTGGTGTGGTGGTCTGCACGCTGGGCGCGTATTCCAGAGGTGCACGGTTCAAAAGATATAAAATTTTCTCAGTAACATTTATATCACCATCATACCAAAATTTCATATCCAAAGAAAATCTTTTAACAAAATTCGCTAAATGAGCTGAAAGTCTTCCAGACAGAACAGCTGTTCATTTTGTGGGTTAATGTACTGTATGAAAAATTGCAAAAATATGTGTTTAATACTTCTCACATAATCCAAACTGTGTTTTCGCCAAAGAATCTTAAAGCTGCAGTGTATCCTGAGTACTCATTTTATTTAAAAATATTTCATCGTTAAGCATCTCAATTTTTAACTCCGAGCTTCGTCTGCATTTTTATGAGGGAAAACCCTTTAAAAACAAAGAAAAATAAATAGTGAAACCGAACTCATTTTTTATTTACGAATATAAAAGCAAGAATATATTTTATAAATTCTTTAGTAAGCTGGAACATCCATATAGAAAAATAATTACCTAAATCGGTGGGGTAGGATGTGGTAAGAAAACACATTCTATGTTTAAATTGCCATTAAATCTTACTTACATTTTATCAAAAATGAATTTCCTTCTTCCCTGACTCTTAAAATTGTACATATAATTATTCGGGGTGAAGATACAAGTAGACCTGTCATATAAAAATGGCACGGGGGGCCTTAATGGAGTATTTGGACAATAAATAATAATTTAATGGATATGGGCGTTATTGTTTCTTTTGAAGTGCAGTTACTTTAAAATTTATTAGAGCATGTGAAATTATCTCCTCTTTCACTTCAGTTTATATTGGAAAAATAGAAAAAAATATTATTACATAAATGTTACTGAAATAAAAGTTCAACTTAATTTTTAAACCATATCGATAATAATGAAACCCTGTATTTAAATATGTTCTAGATATAAGTAATGAGACAAAAGCATTAATGAAAATGCAGTTAAAGAAAAATGCTGAAAATAATGTATTTATGAGGAAAATATGCAATTATCTTGATAATGCATTGTTGCATGCATACGGATTCATAACAGACTAATTGCACACAAGTTAATAAAATTTATTCAATTACAATATCTATTACGGTGATACAGGGTCCGAACAAAAATGTCGCCAACTTTGGCTACTTTTGGTAATTTCTCGTAACATTTTGCTGCAAAAAAGTCGCCAAATTTTTTGTCAAGTTTGTTTGTAACAACAAAACCGTTGTCAGCTTGGCGATTTCTCGCCAAATTATCGAGATACCCATTTACTCAATGTTAAATATTCTCGCCCCTGTATTGTTATTTTTCGAGCACAACTTCTACCTTTTGATTTTTTTTTTTTTGTTTTACATTACACAGAAAAATACAACAATTTCAATTTCACACATAATCATGTAATAAAATCATGTCTTTTACAAAATTCGTAACAATATTTTGAAATGAAATATTTGAAAGAATAACATTAACTTTACGATGGAAGACGTTCCATGATGACATGGTGCAAACGCTACT